AGACCACAGAGCAACTAAGTCCATGCATCACAAGTACTGAGCCTCGAGCTGCAACTACTGAAGCTCCAGCACCTAGACGCTGTGCCCTGGAACAAGAGAAGCCTTGGCAACGGGAAGCCCTAGCATGGCAACTAGAGAGTAGCCCCATCCGCGGCAACTAGAGAAAGTCCATTCGCAGCAACGAGGACCCAGCACAACAACAACAACAACAAAGTATTGTGCCTGCCAAGGTACAAGGCACCTTTTCTACCTGGCTAGCACTTGGATTGGATGCTTGGCCTATGGCTTTGGAAATAACAGTCATTGTGGCTAATGTTTACTGGGATGTTAAGGAAATCAAGTAGTTCCTACTAAGGAAACCAATCCTGAATATTCATTGGAAGGACTGATGTTGACGCTGAAGCTTCAATACGTTGGCCACCTGATACAAAGAGCTGACTCATTTTAAAAGACCCTAATGCTGGGAAAGATTGAAGATAGGAGGAGAAGGGGACGACAGAGGATGAAGTGGTTGGATGGCATCACCGACTTGATGGACATGAGTTTGGGTGGACTCCGGGAGTTGGTGATGGACAGGGAGGCCTGGCGTGCTGTGGTTCATGGGGTCACAGAGTCAGACATGACTGAATGACTGAACACCAGCCGTAGGTGCCAGGAACTGTGCCCCACGTATATTATCTTACTTAGTTTCACATTAACTCTCATTTGCCTCATGTTACTAAGGAGAGGACTGAGACCCGGAGACGTTAAGTAGTGTGTCTAATATCTCAAGGTTAGTAAGCCATAGAGCCCCACTTTATTCCCCAGGACCAGCTACGTAAGGCATGAAGCCCAGTGTCAAAGGAAAATGCAGTCTCTTGTTAAAAAACAAAAACATGAGTAAGAGCCTCATAAGGACAACAGCAGAGCGTTAAACCACGAGTGGGGCCCTTTTAAGTGGGGGACACTGCGTGACTGCCACGCACCCATAGACGCACGGCCTGGCTTGAGAACGTTTGCTCTAACCCAAACCCCAGAGCCGAACGGCACGCGGTCCGGCCAGGATTGACTTCGGCAGGTAACGAGCAAACGGGAGGGTTCCATGCGCGCTGCGCAGGCCCGCGTCCTCTGTAAACACCAGCTTTGTCTTCAGAAAGGGCTCGGGCTGTTTTCCAGCCAGGGGTGACCGGCGCTGAGCACTGCCGCGGGCTTTCTCATTCACAACAGAGTGTTCTCGCTAGGCTGGTCTCCTCCTGCCGGACGTCTCCAGAGGCCAGCTGGTGGCGGCGCCCGGAGCCTTCCGCTTAGGAAGTCCACTTGTGCTGCTCTGGGCTCCGTCTGCCTGACCCGCGGCTTCTCACCCCCCAGCCTTCGCTGCCCAGGGACCCGCACCCCGAATCCCGCTGTGGGCCCCCTGTGCCTTCCAGCCGGTCTGGCCTGGGGCACAGACGTGTCTGTTGTCTCGGGTCTCTGGGAGAACAGTGGAGTTTTTGGAGAGAAAATAGGAACCAGCTATCTCTTTTCTCCTGGGGCTTCCCGCAGAAAACCCAGGGCAAGGTGATAACTGCGGATCCTTACCGAGTGCTTACTCTGGGCCTCCTGTTTCACCGTGGATTTAATCTCCAAAGGGTGCTCAGGCTTCACATGTGGCCATTTAAGCTGTAAGATAGGTGTTGTTAATAGCCCCCTCATTCAGACGAGGAAAGCAAGCCAGAAAGGTAAATTGCCCAAGAGCCGAGTTAGCAAGTGGAAGGATCAGAACAGAATTTTAATTCCCTGAGTTCTAAGCCCCATGACACCTTACTTCAAAGTTCTGTCAAGCCTTCAGGAAGAATGGGCAGGGAAGTCTTGAGGGCCCAGTACAAACAGAGGCGAAAACCCAGGAATGTGTCCTTCCTGTTACCTCAGAGCGAAATTCCAAAAAGTAACTTCTGGAATTTTCTTAGAGTAACAGGGTTGAGTGTCAAAGTGGAGAACAACCTCTCCATATAGTTCGTCAGAGACAGGGGACACAGACAGACAGACAGATACACGCACAAGATACAGCATAACTCAAAAATGGCAATTACTTTACATCCAAAGTGAAGTGATGGCCTTAAAGAGACTTATTCAAGGCTTGAAAGTGAAAGTCACTCCGTCGAGTCTGACTCTTTGTGACCCCATGGACTATGAGTCCATGGAACTCTCCAGACCAGAATACTGGCGTGGGTAGCTGTTCCCTTCTCAAGATCTTCCCGACCTGGGAATTGAACCCAGGTCTCCCGCATTGCAGGCAGATTCTTTACCAGCTGAGCCACCAAGGAAGCCCAAGAATACTGGAGCGGGCAGCCTGTCCCTTCTCCAGGGGATCTTCCTGACCCAGGGATCGAACCGGGGTCTCCTGCATTTCAGGCGGATTCTTTACCAACTGAGCTACCAGGGAAGCCCCTCAGTTCAGTTCAGTCACTCAGTCGTGTCCAACTCTTTGCAACCCCATGGACTGCAGCATGCCAGGCCCCCCTGTCCACCACTAACTCCGGGAGTTTACTCAAACTCATGTCCACTGAGTTGATGGTGCCATCCAACCATCTCATCCTCTGTCGTCCCCTTCTCCTCCTATCTTCAATCTTTCCCAGCATCAGGGTCTTTTCCAATGAGTCAGTTCTTTGCATCAGGTGGCCAAAGTATCCCCTATTCAAGGCTCATTTGAATATTACTTCTTGAGTGCCTGAGAACTTTGCTCTAATTTTAGCTTTCTAGCCTTCGAAACCCAGAATAAAGAGCCCACTGTGATAAGATCCACACTACTGCTTACACTTTGCATCGGAAGCATACGGTTGACTGGTTTCCCCCACATTTTCCTTGAACCCCTGCAGAACCAGACTGGGTGATGTTACATGAGTCTGAGGATAACCGGGTGAAGGCGGTGGTGTTGGATTGGAGCCTCCCCTTCCTGCTTTTCCCTCAGGCCCTTTAGACGATGGGACTGTCCCCTGAGCACCGTCCTGATCCAAGCGGCGGAGCGGACCCTCTCTGGAAGCTGGCCGGAGAGCTGCAGCTCTCGTGAAGGCTGATGAGATGCCAGTTCTGCAGGTGCAAAGCCACAGCGTGTCTCCCTGCGCCTGCAGTGTGCTTCTTGCTGAGATGGCCAAACTAAAAGACAGTCAGGCAACTGGGAGACAGTCAAGCCAGAGCCATAAATGTCTCCATAAGTTACCAGGATATTCCCAGATGTCACCATCACCCTGCAGGAATTGGAGCTGCATAGGCACCTTTATAGGACTTCCCTGCTGGGAAGCTCAGATGGTAAAGCATCTGCCTGCAGTGCGGGAGACCTGGGTTCAATCCCTGGGTGGGGAAGACTCCCCGGAGAAGGAAATGGCAACCCACTCCAGTACTCTTGCCTGGAAAACCCCACGGATGGAGGAGCCTGCTGCAGGCTGCTCTCCATGGGGCTGCAAGGAGCTGGACACGACTGAGCGACTTCACTTCACTGGGCACCTTTATTCCTTTTTAACAGGGCCATGCTAACGTAAATCAGATTATTCCAGAGGGAAATGCTGACAGAATGATTTTATCCAAGTTCCTGAAAACACCCGAAAAAAGTTCTGAGAGCCTTTTTTTTTTTTTGCACAATTAAATAAAAATCATGGTGAGTCAAAGAAAAGCAAGATTAGAAGGCTTGCCTGAACAGTCATTTAAAAAATAGAAGCTATATAATTTAGATGATTTGTGATAAGAGGTTTGAATGGTTCTCACTGGAAAACTGAACAGGAAAATAACCAGGTGACTCAACACCCAAAGGCAGGAAGCAAGAGTGAGTCCTCCAGGCCCACAGGAGGCTAAGTGATGGACTGGCCGTCAGCATTATCCTTCCTGTGTCGCATTCCCAGCATGCTAATTACTGTGAGCCCAATAACTCACTTACTGCGTGGATTTAGAGATAGGCTCCCCTTCAGCTGCTCTGTGTGAGAGAATGTTACGTTAGGTGACTAGCTAGACACTAGTTAGTGTATGCAACACTCACTGGCGTGACTACTGAGTAATTCAGAGTCTCGTCTATGCATAATGTGTGTTAATGCCATAAGCCTTTTTCTTCCAGCACCACTGTCTTCAGGCCTGTCAGAAAGAGGAAGCCAGATATTCACTAGTTACTTACCTAACTACAGAACTCTCGAGAATGCGGATGAGAGTGTTTTTGAAGCACTGTCTGAAACAACAAGCTAATAGATCTGCTATTAGAGGATTTGCACATCCATTCCACCACCAAACCTTTATTTCACACCTGAATCCAAGAATCCTTGGATTCCTGGTGCAAGAAGTGGGTGGGTCAGGGCGGGCAGGACTCAGATGGCATGGAATTCCCAGGAAAGAGAAAAAGGGACCCAGGCCAAGCTCAGCATCCCGGTCCATGTGAGAAGGAGCACGCGGCCTCTCCTCCTCCACTCCTGACTGTTTCCAGGCTTCTCCAGGCAGGGCTGCATGATCCAGGGGTCCTTTCTGAGTTCATCCTAGACTACCCATCCTCCTTCATGTGGAACACCCATCACCCTAAGAAGGCAAATGCCGGAGACAGCCACAGTCTGGCCCGTGGAGGGGATGGCCCTGGGACGAGGCTGGATAGGAGAAGCTCTTTTCAAATAAAAAAAGTAATGGTAAATCCTCCTCAGGCGCTCAGTGTCCCTAAACCAGACATGCTGAAGATGTCTGATGTTTCTGAAATGGGTGGTACCATTTCCCAGCAGAAACGCAGGTATAGATGACCAACATCTCCTAAAATGTCGTCTAATGAAATGCATGTCATCTTATCAGATCCTGGAAACCTGGACCCTCTTGAAATTGTATACATGGAGAGAAAGAAGAGATGCAATGCAACGGTGTTCTAAATTCTGTAGGGCTTTTAGAGTGGAGCTCTCCTAAAACTCCTGAAGTTCAGGGTGGGGATGAAGAAGCCCTCTAGGAAGTCAGGTTCTTTGGTTCAGTGCTCTAATTTCTCTGCCGCTTCACCACTCTCCCTCTCTCTTTTTAATATTTCTCACCAGGGTATGGGAATATTGCTCCAAGCACTGAAGGAGGCAAAATCTTTTGTATTTTATATGCCATCTTTGGAATTCCACTCTTTGGTTTCTTATTGGCTGGAATTGGAGACCAACTTGGAACCATCTTTGGGAAAAGCATTGCAAGAGTGGAGAAGGTCTTTCGAGTGAGTACTGCGTCTGTTTAAACCCTAACCTCTGTGATCCAATTGGCTTTAGCCTGGAAGGATCCAGAAGAAATCACCAGGGTTTTATGGTGTCATTCTCACTTTTAATGGGATAATTCAATGTTGTGGTCATATTTTTTTTTATTTCGACCCATGGTAGTCACAGGGATGATTCCTAATTCTTGTCTCTTGTCAGTCTCCCTGGAATCAGAACACAAGAAGGTTAAGTGTGGATTTTCCAACACATATTTTGGAGACATGTGGCATACACAACTTCTTATTAAAGAAGGAAGATGTGTTTTTTAGTGTATTGGCAATAAAGTGGTGTTCAGTCGCTCAGTTGTGTCCGACTCTTTGTAACCCCACGGACTGTAGCCCGCCAGGCTCCTCCGTCCATGGGATTCTCCAGGCAAGAATATTGGAGTGGGTGGCCATTTCCTCCTCCAGGGGATCTTCCCAACCCAGGGATCAAACCCGTGTCTCCTGCGCCTCTTGCATTGTCAGGCAGATTCTTTACCGCTGTGCCCCCGGGAAGCCTGGCAACAAAGTAGAGCATTATAAGCCTGTCCATTTTGTTATTGGAGCTCCTTCTCTCTGCGTTATTTCCAAGCCCAGCGTCTTTAGGCTGATCCTGGCTTCTAAGACGTCTTCCCGACGCCTGCAATTTCCAGACATCGCTCTGTGCTTTGCGTCTGTCTCCTCGCGGCCCCTCCCTCTCTCTTCTCCCACAGCTGAGGGCTCCCTCTGCAATAATCCGCTCACACACTCACTCATACTAAGGTGCTGATGGTTGCTGTTGCCTTCGTGAGTTCTTCTTTTTGAGAATGCTCACCTTGAAACAAGGGACAAAAATCTCAGTGCGAGGGGTTTGTTTACTAGAGGTGGCATTCCTGGTATCAGTGACAGGCATGTGGAGTGATTGGACTGAGGTTTCCAATGCCCTTTAGCTCACACCCCATCATAAAATTTAACAGAACACTTGTTCTGTTTAGCAGTAAGATCATTTTTGCTCTCTTTCTCATCTCTTTACCTAATTCTCAAGTCTTTCAAACTTCCTTCAGGGAATTATTTCTTATGATGGCTTTGTATTTAAGAATGACAATTTGAGCTCTTTATCAGAATCTGGAAATGATGGGCAGAAATAGGCCAGTGGTCAGTTCTAAGGCTGTGCTTATTTTCCCCTGTGAGACAAGAAATCATGACATAAACTTCTCTTTAGAAGAATGTAAGGGAGTGCGCCCCTCGAGCAGTTTCATAAATTCTTATTGAGTTGCGTGGAGGAAGGAGGCACTAGAGTTGCCTTGGGGATGCTTTCTGTAAGCTCAGGGGCTTTGGGCGAGCTGACTCAGTTTGCATGTGTGCTTGCTAACTTGCTTAAGTCGTGTCTGACTCTTTGCCACCCCATCGACTGCAGCCTGCCAGGCTTCTCTGTCCATCGGGATTCTCCAGGCAAGAATACTGGAGTGGGTTGCCATGCCCGCCTCCAGGGGATCTTCCAGACCCAGGGATCAAACCCAGGTCTCCTGCATTGCAGGCAGATTCTTTACCACTGAGCCACCGCGGAAACCCCTGCCTCAGCTAACTCATCGGCAAAATGAGGTGGAATTCGAATTCATTTTGTAAGGTCTTGGTGATGGTGAAATGGAATGATGTATGGAAAAGAGCTTGGCACAGGGCCAGACACAGTGTTCAGTGCCACTGAGTGTCCGTCTCCCGAAGGGGGCACTTGTTGGCAAGCAGGCCACCCATTAGAATTTCATGAGTGGCTCGGTGACATGGGGGGTCTTCCTGGAACCTTCCACAACCTTTGCTCTGAATTGCTGGCTGGCCAGCCAGTCTCATTAGAGTGTGCAGCTGGGCTCTGTGGTCACCATGGAAACCATCAGATGCTCAGGTCCCCCTACACCAGACATGGCAAACTTGTCTCCAAAGGCTGTTTTGAACTTCTCAGAGGTAGCCTGTTAGCCATGGCCTGATGGCTTCTGAGTTAGAGAAAAATGAATCTGGTGGCTTGAGCACTCAGAAGAACAGAATTCAAGTGGAGAAATGTCTGATCTGGTGTTTTTATTTTTATATCGCTTCTCTAGATCTGAGTTTATTTGTGGAAAGGAAAGATCAGACTACAAGCTTTCGAAATTCCCCCTTAGCAAAAATAAGGTCTTCCTGGAACCTTCCACAACCTTTGCTCTGAATTGCTGGCTGGCCAGCCAGCCTCATTAGAGTGTGCAGCTGGGCTCTGTGGTCACCATGGAAACCATCAGATGCTCAGGTCCCCCTACACCAAACATGGCAAACTTATCTCCAAGGGCTGTTTTGAACTTCTCAGAGGTAGCCTGTTATCCATGGCCTGATGGCTTCTGAGTTAGAGAAAAATGAATCTGGTGGCTTGAGCACTCAGAAGAACAGAATTCGAGTGGAGAAATGTCTGATCTGGCGTTTTTATTTTTATATCGCTTCTCTAGATCTGAGTTTATTTGTGGAAAGGAAAGATCAGACTACAAGCTTTCGAAATTCCCCCTTAGCAAAAATAAAATTTGGAAACTGTGTTCTAAATGAGGGAAGAGGTTGCAATCATTTTGACGGCATCTGCTTCTGAATTTGGGGACTTTGTTCCCTTAATGAATTTCTTACTGCAAGTAGAAAGGATGGTTCTTCTTCCCCTTAAAGCTGCATCTCAAATGGATCATTACCAGGGCTCTGGGACAGAGCCTTCAGAATCTCACGTTTCATTTTATGCTGATGACCCGCTTCCTTCCTTGCGGTGCCATCAAAGATCGGGAGTCTTTCAGGAAGGAGCCGGCAGTGTATCACTGAATTCCAGCACACGATGTACGCCTTTGCAGAGCGTTGGAAGTGGCTGTGGATGGGTGTCTGAGTTCCAGGAGGACTATGATCACACTTCCTCGACCTACGAACAAGCGACTCCGCTGCAGTTTGCTTGCTGTGTGCAGTTTTGGTAGAAAGTCTCAAGGCTCTTGGCTATTCATTTGAACTACATCTGACAGGCCACTTACTCTTGAAAAGTGAAAGTGCTAGTCGCTCAGTCGTGTCTGAGTCTTTGCGACCCCATGGACTGCAGCCTGCCAGGCTCCTTGGTCCGTGGGATTTTCCAGGCAGGACTACTGGAGTGGGTAGCCATTTGTTTCTCCAGGGGATCTTCCCAGCCCAGGGATCGAATCTGGGTCTTCTGCACTGCAGGCTGACTCTTTGCCATCTGAGCCACCTGGGAAGCCCTATTTTGAGAACTGAAAATTGCTTAAACCAAGAAAGCTTGGGGTTGTGAACGTTTGGTTCCCCCGAGGATGATTTATTTACTTTTCACTTGCTCTGTGATTTAGTCTTTTCCTTCACCTGGTATGCATTCTCTCAGCTCTTGGGAATGGAGGATTTTTAGTGGAGTAAAGGTAAAATATACGATCTAGGTGCCTGAATTCTGAGGTGACACGGTTTGGATTCTTTTATCCCATCCCAAGTCTGAGCCTCATTTTAAACAACTGTTGAGGGTTATTGTATTAATATCGTGTAGAAATGCCAAAAGCATTCTTAAATATCTGACTGTTGGGGGTTTTACAGGGTGAATAAATGAAAACTCTTTTTTCCCCTCTGGAGTTATGAACTAATTGAGAAATAGATACAGAAGTCAGATGGAGATTAAAAGGCCAGCTTTCTTGCTAATAAGCTCATCAAAGAATGTAGTTTTAGCTTTGATGCCAGAAGGACTTACTAACCATTTTCACCCTTATTTAGAAGGATTTCCATGCTCTATTAGTTTTATATTGCTGTGTAACGAATTAGTACAAATGTAGACACTTAAGGCAGCACTGGTTTATTACATCATTGTTGTGTAGGTAAGACATCAGGGCAGGCTTGGCCAAGGTTCTTGATCAGGATATCAAAGGCTAAAACGTCAGAGTGTCGACCAGGCTGGGTTCTGGGTCTGGGGAAGAATCTGCTTCCACACTCATTCAGATCTTGGCAAAGAATAACTTCTCTGTGGTTGTAGGACTGAGAGTCCAGTTTCCTTGCTGGTCATAGGGTGGGGACCATTCTCACCTTTGAGGTGGCATACATTCCTTGGCACAGGGCCCCTCCTCTTTGAAGACAGCATGGAATCCTTCTTCTATCTCAGTGACTTCCCCTCTGTACTCTCCTGTCAGCTGGAGAAAGCAGTGTGGACTAAGAGCTCATGTGATTAGATGTGTGTGTGTTAGGTGCTCAGTCCTGTCCTCCTCTTTGTGACCCCATGGACTGTAGCCCGCCAGGCTCCTCTGTCCATGGGATTCTTCAGGCAAGAATACTGGAGTGGGTCGCCATTCCCTTTTCCAGGGGCTCTTCCCGACCCAGGGATCGAACCCCGGGCCTCCTGCACTGCAGGCAGATGCTTTACGATCTGAGCCACCAGAGACGCCCAGGGTTAGATATCGCTCCTCATCCCTTAAGGTCGACCGAGCGTCGTGGGAGTGATCGCTCATCCTGGTCCGGGTGCTGGGGCTCAGGGTGCTGCAGCTTTGGCATTTTGGAGGTCCTGCCCCCACACCGTCTTGGTCTCTGGTAGCACAGGCCTCCTTGGTGAGGGCAGGGTCTGCTCTACTTGCTACACCAGAGAGGGCAAAGCTGAGTGCAGTTCCCTCGAAGGAAGGTTTCAAACAAAAGAAACCTTTGAAGACGGTTTCAAATAAGAGAAAAAAGGGGCCGAGCCGAGGGAACTCAGTCCGTTCTGCGGAGCCTGCCGGGTGAGGGGACCCGGTCCCTCCTGCCGAGTCCGCTGGGCCAGGAAAATGGACCTTGCCCCTGTGCTGATTTACAGAGGGTTAAAAATTCGACACAGCTTACCCGGCGGGCAGCCTGGAGCAAGGTTGGTTCAGGCTTCAGGCATCCCCTTCCCAGTAACACGCTAAGGATTCTGGTGCGAGTTCCAGAGTGTGGATTTTTCCCAGCTCGGTGTCTTACCATTCAGCTCAAGTCTGGCCCTGTCTACCCGGAATTCGCATCAGGTCCCA